AAATTGCGCCATGCAGCGCAGCGAGTGACAATGTTTGTCAGTCAAGGGAAGCCTGATCATTCCGACGGTCTGCGCTTCGACGCAGATTTTCAGGAGATCTGTTTAAATCATGTCAGTTTCCGCTGGCAGGAAAAACGTCCTTACGTCATCGAAAATTGCAGTTTGACTTTAAGGCGCGGTCAACGTGTTGCTGTCATCGGGCCATCCGGAGCCGGTAAATCAACTCTGGTTGCCATGCTTTTGCGCGTAGTTGAGCCGGAGACCGGAGAGCTGACAATAGATGGCCACTCCTATAATGCATTTGATATTCGTGATCTTCGTAAAAATGTTGCCTGGTTGTCACAGACGACACATATTTTTGCGGATACGATACGAAATAACCTCTGCCTTGGTGGGTGTTATTACCCGGAGGAGGCCCTCTGGAATGCCCTCAGCCAAGCAGGACTGGCGCATGTTGTCAAAGACCTGCCAGACGGTCTCGACAGCTGGGTCGGTGAAGGGGGTAAAGCACTTTCAGGCGGTGAGGGGCGTCGCCTTGTTCTGGCGCGGATCCTGCTCTCAGATGCGCCGATTATTATCCTTGATGAACCGACAACCGGCCTGGACGCTGAAACTGCTGAAAGTTTTTTCAAAACTTTTGAGGCTGCCACCAAGGACAAAACTGTCCTGCTTGTGCTTCATCGTCTCACCGGTACTGAAAAGCTTGATTTGGTTTGGAAACTGGGTGATGGTCACGTGAAGGTGAGTGAAGCGTCTTAAATCAAAGCTGAGACTGGTCACGCGCGCCCCTCCAGATTATCAGACCTCGTATTGCCTCTGTCAGTCGAAAAGGAATGCACTCCATGCGCCCATGTCTCCGTCTTCTACCGATTGTTTTGGCTCTTGGTCTTGCAGCGTGCGACGGTGGGTCGGACCGCGACAGATACCCGGTTTTCTTTAAAGGAGGGTCGGTCGCGTTGACGGAGGCAGGACAGTCCATCGTTACCTATGCAGCAGAGGATGCGCGTAGGCAGCACGCTCGCTCCGTTCTTGTTATCGGCCATGCGGGTGCGGGTAAAAATCTCTCGGCAGATGAGCTTTTGGCGATGAAGCGCGCATCCAATGTCGCATCGGCGCTTGTGCGCAGCGGTGTTAACGGCCGCATTATCGAGCAGAAATCCCGCGCGCCCAGAAATACGCGCAATGCGGCTGTGGCTGCCAGAACGGTTACGATTGAAATCGATCCTTGAGATCGCGACAGTCAGAGCATGTCTGAGACCGCGACCTTAACGGATGTGACGTCGGTCGATCGCGGTGAGCATGACCTTGACCCGAGGGCGGTGCTCAAAAAGATCTTCGGGTTCGAATCCTTTCGTGGGCTTCAGGAGGAGGCTGTCAAATCCCTCCTGAATGGAGAGGACCTTCTTGTCGTCATGCCGACAGGAAGTGG